AGAGGGGAGGGAACTCATCACCCCCAGGCCTGACGGGATAGCCAGGTCTTGAGGGCTGTGCGGAAGGTCTGGACGGTGGTGAGGGTATGAATCTCCACGGGGAGATCGTTCCAGAGGGTCGGAGCTGCTGCTGAAAAGGCCCTCCTCCGTGTAGTTGCCAGTCGGCACTGACTGGCGGATGGTATTCGGAGGAGGCCCAATCTATGTGATCTTATAGGTCGCAGGGAGGTAATTGGCAGGAGGCGGTCTCTCAAATTGAATAACATGGGTTCTGTTGTTAAAAATAAAAAGGATGGGGGAAAGCCCCCTTCATTTTACTCACGTTTGCATTAGTTGAGGTTCCATCACACCAATGAAAAAACGTTCCCTCACTGAGATTGCCATGGCAAGAGCAGTTGTCTAAAATATAGAGGATATCAAGACGTCATTTTCATGATTTACAAACCATAGCTTTGTGAATTTGTTTTGGCAATGACTGAAACAAGTATCACAAACCTTGTGAGCTTCCTTAATGAGTTGATCACAGTAATCAAACCAGGATAGGAATGAAATCAGAGCTCTTTTGCCGGGGAAAGCAGATGCGTCTTCTTTGTAGTTATAGGAGTCCAAACTAGAGTGCAGGAAATGAAAGCAATTTAAACATATTTAATATTTGCTGCCATTGTGGCATAATGATAAGCAGGAGTTCTAAACATTTAGGTAATTTTCATTGCTATATTGATGCTGATGCTTTTTCCAACTGAGAGACATTTAAATTTTAACTGATCTCAAGTATAAGGTAGGTTATAAATATAAATCAATCTACAACTTATGTGCAAAATGTGTCCAAAAAAATAATACAAGCATGGAAAGACAGAATACTTACCCCCAGTTAATGCCTTCGACTGTTTCGATATCTAAAGGATCCATTGATTGGGGGAGGGCTTTGTAAAGAGACGCCAGCCTATCTGTCAGGAGTTCACATAAACATATATTCTGTGTTAAGCACTTGGCAGCTGCTGGTTCAGGCAAACTCACTAGAAGCATGAGGCCTTCACAAGCTTTCACTGCTATTCGGCCATCCTGTGAAGAAAGATCAACAGATTTTACTAAATTGAAGCACATCTAATCATATGGTTTCCATGACCTAGGGGGTGGGTAAAATAGATTGAACTGATTACATAATATAGCATGAATGTATATGTAGGATTAATTTTGCTTATTTATGTATTATACATACAGACCATCATAATCAGGATTGACTCTATTTATACAGAATAACTTAAAGGAAGTTTCCATTCTCCAATGCAGCTTTACTAACCTTAAAAAAAGTGAGTGGGTTTCACCACACTTCTAGGGTGGGAATATCTATCATTTGCAGGCAACATCGTTAACAAAATGGAATAGTTTAAACAAGTTCTAAAAGTCCTTGTTAATTTAAAGCATTATTTAGCAGATTAGGTACTAACAGGACACCATTCAGAACAAGTCTTAAGGAACTTACAACAGTGGTTCTCTAACTCTGTAGTATGCCCTTCAGAAAATAGTGAATTAATGACTCTTCTGCCAAGAAAATTAACGATTTTGTTGGTGTTGATGTCAATGTTATATAAGGAATAAACCACTTTTAATCATTACATTTCTTCCATATACAGGAATTCTCAGACTTAGCTGTACAATAGACCTTCTCCCCTCAAATAAGGTGCACAGGGGTAATGCCTAGACTTGTTCGCACTTTGCCTGCTCAGTGTGACATCTGATGCCCCACCCTCAGTAGCTTACAATTTACTAGAAATTCTGATCCACAGTTTGAAAACCACAAATTAGAGCAAATTTGTGAGGATTCCTGTGAATATTGGTTAAAGTGGATTTGTAGACACGATGATTACTCAGCAGCCAAACAACCACCAGATAGAGAAATGATGTCTCTCTTTAATGCAAAATTAATTCTGCTATAATAAATAGACACTCACTGGGCTTTTGGTAAGGTTGAGCAGAGAATTCACCAAATTATAATCCCCATGTGGGCGAACAGCTAAAGCCTCTGGAGATAAAGGGATGTTTAATTCAATCTGATTTGCAGAGAAATTATCTGCCTGCTGAAGGTCATTCTCACTCTCTGCTTGCTTTGTCCTATTTGATGTTTCTTCAGATTGAATTGACTGTCCTGTATCTGTCACTCCAGAATCTTGCCTTTTTACGAGGTCCTCTGTGACTGAGTTTACTGCATCTTTTGAAGCCAATCCTTTCTGCTTGTTCTGAAAAAAAAATTAAAATGGAAAATTACAAAGATAAAATCAATGGTTGGTTTGTAGCAGAAATACAGCACGAAGAAACCCAAAGGAAATGAAGAAACAGCAGAAGAAACCTAAAACATTAAACTGATTCCCGAGGGTCGAAGTTTCTAAGTAACTAAAATGCATTTGAATTGAATAATATAACATAAGCTTTTCATTATGCCTTTCATATTTTAAGAATGTTTAATCACAGAATATATTTTTGATTCTCAGATCTTAGAGCAGGAGAAAAAAACCTGCCTAGTTTATTGCATTATATATTTTGTACAGACTGCAGAAATTTATAAACATCAAGCAATGTTCCATGAATTTTAGCCTGATTACATAAGCTACTATCTTGTGTTTATTTGTAACCTAATTACATGCATGCATCAATTATTTTTTTAAAAACCACCACACATTATCATTTGATTTGTTAGTCTTGGTGGTTTACTTCTTCTGCTTCTTATCTAATTAAAATATACTTCACATCAATCTGGTTAGTCAGAATTACCGAATAACATGTTAAAAATAGAAGAAACAGGACATCCTTCAACAATTTAAAGTGTGCTACAAAAATTTACTAGAAATTGTACAATCAGGTGCAATACTCTACATATCTTTCCAAATGAAAGCAGACATTTATGATATGCAAGGCATCTTCTAATATTAATTCAAAAGAAATCCAAAAGAATTTAGTTTAAGACCTCAACTCACTTTATTTTTCAGAGTTCTAAGAAGGGTTTTAAGTGCTAATCTAGTCATGCTTCTAATTGCACACATCTAAAAGGAAAAAAATGTTATTGGAATTGGGAAATCTGTACTTACCACTGTACAAAATTATGAAAACCTTTCTAAAGGCTGCCCAATTTAAAGTGGAAACACTTCGAATACTTTACTTTTGCCTAAAGATCTGCTTCTGATTTGTGAATGATAAGACAGATTCAAAGTTCCAGTTTTTGCCAGTTTAAAAGAATCCTTAAGAACTATGGTAATGGGTCTCTCAGTTTGCTTTCTGTATTTGGCAATATGGCACACTTAAATTATAATAAACTTGCATAAACAATTGCATAATTGTTATCCTTAGGTAATGTTATTTTGGAAGCACATGCAATATTCCGTGCATTACAGAAAATAAACATATAATTAAAACTAAAATGTAGTTAGAACATAATTACTATATGTTCTATTATGAATATAAAGGATAAAAAAGAGTAATATTGCATAGAAGCCTACTATTTGCCAGAAAATATTTTACTATAAGAAGCCATATATACACTTTCTAAAAAATACTGTAGATTTCTTTGTTTTTGAAAAGGAAATTGACTCTACATGGCATCATTTTAACATTCATGGATCCCACTATGCTAAAATGGCATATGGAAAACTAAGACCAAATTTAAGTATTGTATGCAACAATGTAAGTATTATTGGGTTTTCAATGCTTCTTTTAAATAGAGCTCAGACCCATAGTGAGGTTTCAGCCCAGTTGTGATGTGAAATTGTTAATGTTAGTCTTCATTTAAAATGAAATACTTGTAGAAAGAATCAACCTGACAAATAGTGGCAAAGGCTTGATGGAGAACCTAGCCCACAATTTTGTACTATAATTTTAAAAGCTCCAGCACCATGACACTGGTGTTTTATGGGATTTGTTGCCCAAACAAATACATGGGGTCATATTTCTTCTATTAAGAAGCAGTCTGTTTTCTCTGGAAACAGTAAAAAAAAAAAATTCAATGCGGTGTCTGTTCCTTTATTACTGTTAATGGGTTGCAGTAAGAGATGATTTATGAATCACACTATGCAAAACAATCAAAATTCACTGATTTGTTCATGCAATTCTGAAGCCCACCTGCTCACCTGCCTCGAAGAAATGTGTAGGACAGGGCCTGGAATCACCTATTAGGAAAGTTTAATGAAATAGGCTGTATGCTTTCTGATTCAAGAGCATCATCACCAAGGGACTTCACTACCAGACCACTGGGGATAGCAAGAGCAAGCAACAGTTTGCTGAACTTAACAGAAAGAAAAAAGCCAGCTCAGTTCAGCAGCAAAAGGTGTGTAGAAAGCATCTTGTCAAACAAACAAACAAATGCCACATAAAAAGTCCAACTAGTTAATTGTGGTAATGAAAACATTAAAACAAATGTAATCATACACACTCTGTCAGGATACATATGCTGCTCCCTTTTTCTTTTCACACTATTGGTCACAAAATCATGGAAGAAAGATAATTGAAAATACAACCACATAATTGCATAGGGCAGGAGGCATTGTTCATCACAAAAAGTACTGCACTGGAAAATGCCGCAGTGTCATCTATATTCCAGTGGTCTAATATGACCACATAAATCTGCAAATAGTGGCAATAATAATTACCAATTTTCTAAATGCAATTACAGTAGAAGACCTGTTTATGGAAAAAGTCGCAGCGACTCTAATAAAGTTCAGAAGGTGAACTCTGCCACTCATTAAAAACGTTTATACTTTCAGTAATATTAATTCTATACATGTCTACTCAGAAATATTGAATAAATTCGGTTGGAGATACTTTTCCAAGAATAAACATACATTTCCAAATTTGTAAGATTCTCTCTCGATTACCAGTCTTTGCTCCATGGCTATAACTTTTCCACAGGCATCGGGTTGATGCACTATTATGGAAATAGTGAACTACTATAGATAGACTCTAATCCAATTGGGCTGTTAAACTTTTAAACCAAATTCAGTTTATATATTATTCATTAGGTATGCAGAGCATGGTGAGATGCATTTCCTCATTTATCAAACCATCAAACTTTCTATCAACATGGATATCTTGAAATCAGTGGATATATATTGGCAAGCCTGAACAATCTGGTTAAACTGTTTCCATAATTTCATGTTTGTTTGTTTTTTGTTAAATTTATTTGCCATCTATCTTGCCATGGGGCTATTCTAGGCAGTTTACAACATAAAAAGAATGTAATGAAGAGTGTAAACAAAAGAACATCTACATGCACTCTACATGGGGCTGTCCTTGAAGACCACCCAGTAGCTTCAAATGATCTAGAATGCAGCAGCAAGCACAGTAGAGGGGGCCCCCACTGTACGTTTTTCCATGTAAAATCTCTGTTGAATGAGCTTCACTGGCTTTCACTTTTCTTTCCTGGTGCAATTCAAGGTGCTGGTCATCACCTTTAATGCCCAATATGGCACAGGGCCAGGCTATCTGCGGAATATCTGCCTGATATTCAGTAAGCCTCCACCCATTTAGCCTGCCATAAGGCTGTAAAGGCCTTTTCCATCAAAGATTGGAAGAAGATAATCAGATAATCAAACTGATTTTGCACCAGGTTTTTGTTCTTTTTGATGCTTTAATGTTTTAAATGGTTGAGTTTTACAACTTTAATATGATTTTATATGTCTTTTAATTTTTGAATGGAAGCCATCCAGAGTTTGCTAAAAGATGGGTGGCTATAGTAAAATAAATAAATAAATATAAGCTATATATA